TTTTGTTTTGTGGGAATAATTAAAAATGTAATTGGTTAACCCACAAAAAATTGAAAAGAAATTGAAAGATAAGTGACCAGACAAGAATTTCATTTGTGTTTCAGAAATCTCAGGGATGTTGGCGTGCATGCTATTGGGCCCTGAACAGTGCTGAGTTTACACTGTTTTCAATGGGGCTTGAATTAGTGGACTGGACCCTTCAATCTGTGTTGCTGACCGATGCCAAACACAGTCGGGATCTGGGAACCAAACAGCGTTATTACGTACGTCCCAGAGCATGACGTTGCCAATGAACGTTGATGAATGGTGAACCGAAATACATATTCTGCTTGGGATCGAGTGTGAACTCGTTGCCAAACATAGCGTGGCGCGCGGAGCGCACGCCATTCGCTCGTCCAATCCCCATCCAGCACGATGATGACACACTCCCATGCAAATACCCGACGGCTGTTGTTTTCGACACACTCCTTGCATTCACGCATGTGTACACGTCCGTACACTGGCTTCATTACGAGATAGCCCCATGGCAGGCAACTGAAATCCCTGAGGCCTCTCAAACAAAAAACAATGTGTTGTTTGGTCCTTCAATTTTTCAATCGTTAGTAGGTTAACCAATGAATTTTTAATTATCCGCCAAAAACAAACTCACCGCCCCAAAAGTCAATGTTCCCAATTCTTCTCAGCGGCCATTTTTCAAATGACATCCCTCACCTTCCAGAGGCTCTTTTGACAAATTTTCAATCACATTTTTGTCGTCTTTTCCCCGAGATAGGTGCCCCTGAATGATCATGGGCCATACTAGCACAATCCAACCATTTCTTGGCCCAAACAGACCCCTCTTTTCGAAAGAATCTGTGGGGGGGGTGACTTTTTGTGCGCCTCTGCATGAAGGAGAATTTTCCTTGAATTGGGGCACTGCACCACTGATCTCTATCGATATGATGGCGCATGCACAAACAAAATGACGCCACCACTCGGCCGCCCGGATAATCCCATTTTGGCGAGTTGTAACGTACGAAGTTATGATGACATGCAGTATTAAATTCCCCACATTCTGGCTCAGATAGTTGTATTTTTTCAACCAGCCTTTATTCAATTCATACCATCATTCTCAGCGAGTCATACAAGAATCACAAATGAATTGTAACGATGTGTAGTAAGTAGCTTGCCGAGACAACGGAGACTTAGGCCATGGCCGAACAGGCCCGGCATGATACTGGCGATGGCCATGTTGCGCAAGCCGGTACAGTGTGCGCGCGCAATCATTGTCCGACTGACATAATTTATTGTAAAATTCCTGTGAAAAGTTCCAGCTACGGACATACAGTGACAAATAAGCATAAACGTGTCCAGAAAAGATTAATTTAGGAGTGAAAAACCAAGTCATTTACTTAGAAAAGAAAGCCTAGGATTTACACACGGAATATCAGGCGGCGTCCGCCACGTCCGTGTGGAATTCTTCTCAATTCCTTCTCTTAAATGTAAAAATAAATGTGACAAAGAGTTTCATAAACACTATGTGTGTAAGGCATCCCAATCCCTTGACACCACGTATACACTGGAGACATTTCATGGTGGCACTCAAGTGACATGCATGAAATTTTAAAAAGCACTTGTTTTGACCAAAAGTTGTCCATAAATTGCTGAAGGTAAACCAAGGGCATTCTTTTTACAGCTTTGACTTGCATTTCAGTGGGGAAGTCAAGAAATAATATTAGGCTAGAGTGAAGATAAACACATGGTGGAACACTTTCTTTTAAGTGTGTGTAGTTGACTGGCAAACAGTATGTATACATAAATATCTACAAAAGGTGAACCTCATGAAGTGTCAGAGAAGAGGCTACTATTGCAACATTTACAATATGTTTTAAAATGAAAACAAATGTACATGACCACCGTGACCTCCAACTAGCTGTGAGGCCTTTTACATAAACTAGTGTATACATATATATTTGTGGAACACAGACAGTATAATTTGTTATATACCATGTACAAAAGGCCACAATAATTGCAATACAACTTACAAGCACACAGGATTTTCAAATAGCTGGCATGACCACCTCCAACTTCCTGTGGGGCTATTTCCATAAACCAGTATGTATGTACATGTGAATATTTATGGAGAGAGTATTTTACAATGTACCCGGGACATAAGACCACAATAATTGTGACCTGTAAACACTGAATTTTAAAACTCATTAAATGCACACATGATCGTTCAAGCCCATTTGGACATGTATTCACATAGACAGTGTGAATAGTACATATGCTTATACAGTGTCAACATTTTTTTTAATGACAGGGCTTGTGTGGAGTATAAGCCAAGATGGCAAATGTGGATTTTCAATCAGAACTACTCAAACGAAAAGATTAGATCTTTGTTTAAAATCTCCCAATGTTGATGATTTGAAACTTGTTAATGATTTTGACTCCCCCTCTTCCATTTCACTACCATGGACTTGTTCCTGGTGATTACAAATTATTGTGCATATTGTAGTGGAAATCTGCTACGTGGTATAATAAGCAAAGCTAACATTTCATGGACTAATCTGTTGTTTACTTGCAGCTTTGTCGACTGGAAAATATTTCTGATTATAACATAAAACAAAGAAATATTGCACGCTAAACTGAAGAAATGTTCATGCATATTTATGAACAGGACACAAAAAATACCTGAAATGTCCTTCACCCAAATAATGGATCTGGCAACTCTTCTTAAAAGCTGTGGAGTAACAATAGTTATGAGAACAATAATATCATGCCTATTCTGTTAAATTCTAGGCCTTGTAATGTATGTATACCTGGTATAAAAGGGTTAAAATTGTCCCAAACTTTCCAGGTGAAGATGTAATATTATATTTTGGGGTTTTTTTGCCAGGTAATAGCAAAGTGGTGGTGCCTTCACTTGGAATTTCTAAATAGGCAATCCTTGGTTGAACATTTCTGTGAAGTACATGTAAGTCAAAAGTGACGCTGCAGAATAACAAAGGTTCCTGAATGTGTGTCTCACAACTTCATGAAGTACCAGTGGAATTGAACCACTCTTAGCAATGCTCAAGGAAAACCATACACTGAATGACCAAGAGCTCACTAAGTCAACCTGGGGTACTTTTCATCAGTAAGAGTGAGCCAACACAAAAGGGTAATGGGAAAATTATGTCCACACACTTGTATTGCAATTAATCCAACAAATGCATGCTACTCAATACAGGTCATGAATTAATAAATTGACAACTACATGTATATACACTATGATGTGCTGAAACCAATTAAACTTTCCAAAATGGATCATAAGGGCAATGAGCCCCAAGCTGGACCAAGTAACTGAACTTGGCTGGTTCACACATGCCTGCGAAGTGTACACGGTGTAGTCACATCCCTGCCAACAAAATGAGCACTCCTGACCAACACAGCTCTTTTCAACTGATGAGAGGGATACTTCTGCTCAAAACAAATAGAAAAATTATATTTAAGAAGTGGTCACATGCATGGTCAGTACACAGGGAATTCACATACTATACTAGGTAGAAGTAAAATTTTTTCCAAAACAATAGCCTATCCAAATGTTACACATCAGATCTTGCATAAAAGATGCATGAAAATTTAAGTATAAAATTGTTCTTAAATTTAGATACTCAGAGAACAGCTGCTTACACGTCAGACCATGAAGAGCCAATACAGAACTTCAAGTGAAATGTTCTTTAGTAAATGGAAATATGATAAGCTACATTTACCACCTGTGTAGGCTTCGGGGCCCAGTTACAAAAACAGCTGAGATTTTGTAGATGATGAAAATGGTTAAAAAGTAACTGTACAGGGCCCCCCCCCAAAGTTTAAGAGGAGCAATCTAGCCAGTCTTAATCAAAGCATGATTCTGTGAATTGATTAAAGCACTTAGGCCTATCTCTCCTTGTTTTATGATCCACACTTTCAGATGAGAATTGTGCCCCAAGGAAATTTTAAATATGGGAAAAAGTTGTCTTGCCTTTAAACTTCAACATGATAGTTCTACAAGGAAAACGGACTGTACCCTGCCCTGCCTCATCTTCAGTGGTTGTGTGCGAAGTATTAGGGGAGTCAAAAAATTGTCACTTCTTGTCAGAGCTGTGTTTTTTGTGCATGAACATCAGGCCAGTATGGGGCCGAATTTCAAGGTTATCTATTTGACTAATTACGGAGTGTGCCCGAGGCCTACCCAGAGCCTATTGAAAAGGCTTTATTTTGACACAGTTAACCTTTTTGTTCCTGAAAACGGACGAACATCTAACCCCAAGCCTACTGTCCCAATTTCCGTGTCCGAACACGTCTCACATTAGCATGTAGGCCTAGCTAGGGCCCACTGTCGATGACGGTATGCCTATGCTATGGCTTGGCCTAACCATTATGACCACGGCCTAACCGAAGCGTCATTCTTTTTACTGTGTCACTTACCGTGAAATGTTTGCCT